TACTTGTTACAGAGAGAGGTACGTTTGATGTCCCAGTAAGAAGTGCTTCATGCCTTCTCTAAACAGTGTAGACTGGTCATCTGCAACATAGCCCTGCATAGCTTGGTCTCATAGTAAAGGTTCCTGGGAAGTTGGATCCTGCCTGGTATTACCAGCATCCTGCCCGTGTCTTGAGGGTGTTTCATCAGTTGGGGTTCAGTGATCCATAGAAAGGGACTGTGGAAGAGGTTTTTGATGACCAGCTGGATAAGCAGGGAGTGACTTAGGGAAGCGTCTTAGTCAATGATACACAGAGCTAAGTGTGTACTTGAGAATAAGTTGACTTGAATCCAGGGCGTTCTGTAATCCCCAAGGATGTGTGACTAAGGAACCCCTAGGTATGAAGCTGGGGATAGACCTGAAGCTGGGTTTGGGGGAAGCAAGCAAAGCAAAACAAAGGTTTGCCGGAGTCCCCACGGATGTGTCAAAGTATTAAAACCCGGGTTACATGTAAAAAGCAACTTGTAAAAATGCTGAAGAGCAAAACAGCAAAGAGACATCTTTGTCTTTCAGTGCTTCTCAGTGACACTCATCCGCAGACCGCCCTTCTATGTATGGCAGACACCCACTTGGGTCTGACCGCCAGGGAGGGACTGCCTTCCTTCCTGTTTCCAGGGCTTTCCCCAACACCTAGCAGTGCACTTGTGGGCAGGATTCACATAGATTTCTCTTGTGGGACCTTTTCTTTTTTGACATTGGGTCTCCTGTACCCCAGATTGGCCTCATGAGAGTGATCTTAAATCTTGATCCTCCTGCCTCCACCTCGGGAGTGCTCTACCTTGCCCCGGCCCTCGTGGGCTGTCACTGCATGGACACGCTCTTTTCATCATTTGTCCCTCCCTGCTCTGGACACTCTCACTGTTTCTTTTCTCTCTTTTTAACCTGTAAGTGCCCCTCTGTGCCATCTTTGTGCAGTTGCTCATATATCCTCTTAGGGTCAGTTCCCTAGAACAGCTTTATTGGACCAGAGGGCATGTGAACATTTTCGAGACTTTGGACACTGAGCACAAAACTGACCTCTAGAAAGATCACCCCAGCCACACACATCCCTACGGATCCCATGTCCGCCACCCCGTATCTCCAACACTGTCTTATTCTTCATTGTGTCTGTTCTGTTAGTAACTAGGAAGCTGGGCGGTCAGTTTCTGTTCCTCCTTTAGTCAATGCTTCGTGTCCTCTGCGCATCTTTTCGTTTTCCTCTCAGCAGTCATGGATACGAGTGGTGCAGCTCTGCTGTGTGAAGCAGCCCTAATGTAAAAGGAGAGCAGCCCCCACCTGCCCTTTTCGATATGATCGCTTTTTTGATAGCTTGAGGCAGTTTGTTTTCTATGCATGTATATGGGCTCTTTTATTTTTTCTAAATGTAAAAGTGGGATCATATTCAGTGTTGCATCCTGACTTGCTTTCCCCCACAACTTGATACATCTGGGAGAATGTCTTACTCAGACACAATAAATTGTTTCTTTCTTTTTGTGTTGTTGTGTAGGGTTTAAAGATATCTCTATTAAGATAATTCACATGCTGTAAGCTCACAGTATACAACTTAGTTTTTTTTTGTATATCCACAGAGTTGTGCAACCATTGCCCCACTGAATGATAGAAGGTTTTCATCATCCTAAGAGCAACCCAGTGTCTCTTGCCTATCATCCCCTAGTTTTCCGACCCTGCCTCCTTCAGAAGCTACTAAACTACTTTCTGTCTCCACAAACACTTGTATTCTGGATACTTAATAAACTCATAGATTGAGTCTTCTACTATGTAGCTTTTCGTGTTTGTCTTTTTGCATTTACCTGTAACTTTTCAAGGTTATTCTATATGTTATCACAAACGAACACTTCTTTCCCTTTTATGACTGAATCTATCCCATTGTATCTATGTGTCACATTTTGTTTGCCCGTTTGGAGTTTTTAACCTTTTGGCAAGTGTGAAAAATTCTGCTGTGAACACTTGTGTACAAATATTTGAGTACCTGTTTTCAGTTCTTTTAGGTAAACACATTGGGATAGAATTTCTGGGTCAGGTAGCATTTTTATGTTTAATTTTTCTTGCTTTTTGTTGAAGATAGATATTTTCATGTAATATTTTTTCTTGCAACAGGGTTTTACTATATAGTCCTGGCTGCCCTTGGACTTGCCATGTATACCCTACTGACATTCCTGTCACAGAGATCCTCCTGCCTTTGCCTTCCTAGTGCTGGTATTAAAGACGTGTGCCACTGTACTTGGCTATGTCCTTATTTTTTTTTTGAGAAATCAAAAGTTATTTTCCATAGCATGTGTGTCATTTTACATCCTACCAGGAGAGCATGGGACCCCAATGTCATCATGTTATTATCTTCTTTCTTTTTAAAATAATTAAATCTTGCCAGGTAGTGGCGGCTTATCCATTTAGTCCTAGCACTCAGGAGGCAGAGGCAAGAGATCTCTGAGTTGGAAGCCAGCCTGGTCTACAGAATGAATTTCAGGACATTCAGGGCTACACAGAGAAACCCTCTCGAAAAATAAAAACAAAACAAAAACAAAATAAGAAGGCTTAGTTCTTTGAGAATTTCATACAATCTATTTTGATCATATTTGCCCTGATCCTCCCACTAGGTCCTCCCAGATTTTCCATCCTCCATGTTTTAATTGTGGCCATCTGAGCAGTGTGCATGGAGTCTCATTGTGGTTTTGCTCTGTTTCCTGATGGTTAATGATGTAGAGTGTCTTCTCCTATACTTACTGCCCATCTGTGTTTCTTCTCAGGGTAGGGGTATGTCTATACAGACTTTTTTGGCATACATGTTTGTGGTATATATCTGTGTTTTTTTGATATATGTATGTGGTGTATGTCCATGTTCACATATGTGTACACATGCCTGTAGAGTCCCGAGGCTGATGTCTGGTATCTTCCTTGATTACTCTCCACTTTATATATAGAGGAAGGGTTTCTCATTGACGGGTCTAGCTGACTTTGAGGATTCCCTGTCTCTGCCTTCTGTGCTCCAGGACGACTGGTAGGTTTCCATTCCCACTGAGCTTTAGGGTGGATTCTGGGAACCTGAAATCTGGCCCTCACACTTGCACAGAAAGCCCTTTACCTGTTGAGTAATTTCCCCAGCCCCACGTTCGCTGTTATTTATTGGAGCTATTTGTTGGTTTTTTAATTACTATTCTGTTGTTTGCGGTCTTTATATATTCTGTGTACAATCCCTTATCAGACACATGGCTTGCAAACAAAGTTTCCTAGTCTGGGGGCTGTATTTTCTCAGAGATCATGGGGATTAGTATTCATTCTTATTTAAATATTTGGTAGAATATACAGTTGAAGCCATCTGGCCCTGAGCCTTTCTTTGTGGGTAATTTTAAAATCACTATTTGTTACAATTATTTTTTTAGACTTTCTGTTTCTTTCTGAGTCAGTTTTTGTACTTAGTGGTTTCCTGCGAATCTGTCCATTTCATGTAAGTTATTTAATTTTATTGGCATACAGTTGTATACAATATTTGCAGTTTTTGTCTACAGATGTAGCTTAGTCTAACCATTTTTTATAGATTAGCATTGAAGTTGTTTTTTCTTTTTACTGTTATAATCAATGCTGTAATGAACATTCTTATGAGTGTTTGGCATAGTGTACATGTGTTATGATATAGATTTTTTTCTTGGGTGTAGCTGTTGAGTCTATTTAAATAAACACTGGCTCTTTCTGTCCTCTTGTCCCTATCTTTATTGATTTGTGTAAGCTCTATGTCTGGCAGTCCCAGTGTCCTGGAGACTGGAGTTAAAAGAATACTGTGTGGCTTGTACCTAATGTGAGTAGAAAGGCCAGGCTTTGAGTCTAGATGTTTGGTGGCAACTCTGGCCATGGGTGTTGGGTATGGGTGCCCCCCCCACTTCTGCACATCCATTTGTCAGGTTCCAGACTGTAAATCCTAAATTACTATAGGTTGCAGGCTTTCTGGCTCTTTAGGTGGCCTTCTTTGGTCTGACAAATGATTGGCATTGGAAGCTAGAGTGAGTCTCCCCAGAGTCTTTTCCATTGGTGGCCCCCTTCTGAAGGATTCTAAGGGCAGTGGGCCCCAGGCTGCTCTAGCTCGCTGACACCTGCAGAGCTGGGTGACTCTGTCTGTGCGTGGAGAAGTGATGAGGATGTGTCTGTTCTCCCTCCTCACTGTTACCTTTTCTCTCATCTGGGGGCTATCTGCTCTGGGCACTCATTGACTTACAGATGGCAAGATTCAGATGTGGGTAGCGGTGTTGGCGTGGTGGGTGGGGGACTTCTTGGGACTCCTGTGTTCCTTCAGCAGTCTCGTCAGCTTCCTTGTTCCTTTTCCCCCTGGAGTTTACACAGGTGATATCAAAGTAGGTTAAAGGTCTGGAAAGGTGTTGTTGGAGCAGTTACACATAATTCTTCCTTGGACCTGGAGGCCCAGTTGAGTAGGTTTTGAGTTTTGCTTCACCAACTCAATCTAGGTCTTGAAGCCATGCCTCAGGGGCTGGGGACACAAGCCACATCAAACTCAGGCTGGAGCAGTGGTGTGTTATTGGCACTCTGTCAAGGTCCTGAGTAGATTTTGTAGGAGACAGAAAAGGCCATGGTGTCACAAATGACAGAAAACTATGAGTGTTGGCCATGTTGGCCCTGCTATTGGCTGGAAATATCCCAGACGCCAATCATGCTGTCTTCCCAGGCATTTGGGGGGACTTGGATTTTCTCTAGGGAACTACATAACCTCCTTCTGCAAGGATCTGCACTCTCTGGGACTGATCATCAGCGAGGCCTGTTTTATCTCTTCTTTGATTGCCCTGGAGCGTTCTGGCCTTGCAGGCCTGCAAAGGCAAAAATCACATTAGCTTCTCTCTTGACCCAAATGAGCCTTGTCCCTGGGGAAGGAAGGCTGGGGTGCAGGTTCCAGAGGGTTGATGAGTGGGAGGCATTCTCAGCGGCCTTTTCTACTGACCCCTCCCCCTTATGTCTTTTAGTCTGCAGAGTTCTTCGAGATGCTGGAGAAAATGCAGGTGAGTACCCTAAATGGGTCAGCAGCCCAACCTCAGATGTGGATGCTGCAGGGCTGTGGTCTCAATAGCAGGAGGTGCCTTGGAGGGAGAGGTCCCTCAGTCCCAACAACTTAGGCCACTTTGCTATTGAATGACACTGAGTTTTTGGGTAGATTCCTGTCTTGGGACATAGAGGGCCAGCCCAGTAACCGTTAACCCTTGGGATGTGGGGAAGGCTCAGAAGAGATGCTGATTCTGGAATGAGTTGAGAAGGAACCCCGTTAAAGCAAGCCCCATGTAGAGGAGAGTTCTGTGGAGTCAAAGAGGCAGAGCCACAAGTGAGATGCAGATCCGAGTTCAAACCCTACATCTGCCACTTAGTGCACAACCAGCTTGCTATTTCCAAGTCACCAAAAACAAATACCAGTAAAAATGACCACCGACACAGTGTTGGAGATGAAATGAGATCCCATATGTAAATGCCTGGAGGGCACCGCATGAGAGTTAATGTCTGAAGAGCATTTGAGGGTCCTTTGTGATCACAATCCATATATGTGGATCCCTGTCTGTGGATCAAAGCAACTGTGGATGCAAACACTGGGGGGTTACAGCTATACTGAACATGTACAGATGTTATCTTTACCATTCTTCCCTGGACAACACATTTAATCAATGTTTACATCACATTAGGGATTGTAAGTAGGGATTTTAAGTCACCTAGAGATGGCTTGAAGGACACAGTAGGATCTGTAGAGGTTCTGTGCAGACACTATGCCATTGAACACAGGGAATTGAGTGACCAGGGGTGTTCTTATCCATGTGTCCTGGAACCAGTGCCCTGCACCCCAGATTAGATAAGAGCTGTTCTGTTGTCCACACTGGTGTCAGCTGAGTTCCTGACTTGGTTGACAGGATTGTGATGGAGCAGTTGATAATGGTATACATATGTCTAGCACTTCTCTGGGATCATAGATCGATGGGCTGTTAGCCTTATGAGGCTTTCAGAACTGCATATCTCACTGCTCTTCTGCCCCCACGTCCCAGGGGGAGAACATCCAGCAAGAGTGCTGGAAAGAATGATGCACGTTTTTACTCTAGAGGCGGAAGAGCCTGCTTCATTTTCTTCTTCTTTTTAATATTTTTATTTCAGGAGGAAGGTTTGAAATAAGAGGCAGGAAGCCCTGGGAGGAGGGAATGAGAAAGGGCCCAGCATTGGAGGTTTCCCTGAGGGTGGGGAAGGGAAGGTTGTATTAAGGGAGAGTAATTGTTAGTAGTTGTGCCATCACCATGGGGTAAATTGTTCAGCTCTCCTCTGCACCCGGCAGTTTGTGGACTGCAAACTCATTTTCTACTCATTTAGGGGAACTCATAATCTAGCTGCGGAAGCAAGCTGTGTGCTGTGGAGTAGCAAGAGACAGGGTATCATTAGTGCCCAGCAGCAGAGCAAAACTGGGGATCTCCCCGCTAGCCAATGAGATCCCAGCTCTCTGGGAGGGCTTGGTGGCTCACTCACTGCCTTCTCCATGGTTGCTTTCTCAGCCCACCCACCCTCCCCTGCAGCTGAAGTCCCTACCTCCTCCCAAGAACCAAGCCCTGTGGACTCTTGAACTGTTCTGTTTAGAGAAGCTTCTGGGGTTGTCTGCCTAGCTATACTGGGAACCTCTCTAGGGCAGGGGGGCTTGTTTGCTGTCTCTTGTTATCTCAGAGACAGTGATGCCCGGTGTGGCTTGCCAGCTGCACCTCAGTAGAAACTGTGGGAAGCAAAGTTGTAATGCGTAAGACTTACCCTTGGTGCACTGGGTATTGGCCCTTGTGGACTCAGTTTCCAGCAACTGCCTGCATGGAGCTTACAGCTAGGGAGCTGGCAGAGAGGGGGATGATACAACCTGTCTGGATTCCTCCCCCCTGTCGTGGGCCTCATTCCTCTTCATCTTACCATTGTGGAGACTGAGTCTTGGAGCAGTTATGTGGTTGGGCCCTCTTGCTAGTTCTGAAGTACTGAGACTAGGACCCAAGACCTGCTGATTTCAGCCCAAGTCTAGGAATTTGAAGTCAAGGAGACTTTGGGGCATGCGGTTTGGAGTCTCCCAGCCTAGATTCAGGTCTGAACCTGATGCCTTCTAGCTGAGTGCCCTTGGTCATTTCCCTCTCTGAACTTCCTTTTCTTTTTGGGGGCAGGGATAAGGGAACACGAGGATAGTGCCTATTGCAGAGGGTAAAGCTTGGAGGAGGGAGGGCCTGGCTATGCATGGGGCTTCCAGGTAGGGGAGGAAATGGAATGCCAGTGAGGTTGAGGGGAGGTTTGCACTCCTGCCCTGGGGACTGTTCCCAGACAGGAGTGACTAATGCAGGACAAACAAAACAAACTCCTGACATCACTCCCCCACCCACCTGGTGTACCAACCTGGACAGGGTCTACAGGGCCACCCAGGCAGTTTTCTGCGGGTGTGTGAGAAGCACCTGTCAGTGGGAGGGGCCTTCCCACACCCTCCTGAACAATGCTGGGGGATGACTCAGTTCAGCAGTCCAGAGAAACTGTATTAAAACCCACCTAGTTAGCAGGAGACCTGCTGTCCAGGGAGCAGGGTGTATGGTTATATACTCAGCTTCAAATACAGTTCCTGTCACTCACTAGCTTAGTGCCCTTCGGTACACAGTGCCTCTGGGGCCTCAGTTTCCTCACTGATGAAAAGGTATTTGCCTTCAAAAGAAGCCACAGTGGTGCCCCTCTGGAGGGCTAGGGCCTTGCTAAGGTGGTGACCAGGCAGGGACCACTTCTGACTCGATAGCAGAGACTGTGCCTCTCAGATGCCCTCCAGCTCTTACTCCCAATGGATGTACTCAGTCTTGGGAAAGCCTTGTGTTTCCTTCCCCATTGCACAGCCCGGGTAAGTCAGAACCCGACTAAGGCTGCTGGACAAGGGGCTGCTCCTGGAAGAAATTCCCAGCAACTGCAGGCAAAAGCCCTTTAATCCAACATGGTCATTGAATCTGGAAGATGCAGATGATGGCTTGAGGTTTAATCCTCATTCCACACATGCACCTAGGGAGACTCCCTGGGTTACAAATAGGAAACACCTGACAGAATGAAGACCTGAAGGACCATACCTTCTGCCTGCCATCCAAACACCCTTTCTCCAGGAAAAAGGTGGCGCTGGAAGGCAGGAGGACCAATGTGCTGGCTCTGACACCTGCAGATGTGGGCGCTCATCTTTCCCATCCACGGCCCTATGGCCTTCAGGAAGGTATTTGAACACAGAGATGGTAATACATCCACCTACACTAATTCTACCCACACCATTTGCTGGGATTTGAATGCAGGTGATCTGGCTCAGGTCTACACAAACTCTTAACTGGCCACCCTGCAACCTCATCTGGGATTGGTATTGGGACTGACAGCTGCCGAGTGTGGGAGGTGAGAGACTCTAGTGCCTACCAGAGGCTCCGAACCATGCTCAGTGACCTCTGTTTATGTGGATACTCTCTTCCTTGTCTCCACAGGGGATCAAGCTTGAAGAGCAGAGGCCAGGACCCCAGAAGAACAAGGTGGGATAGGCAGTTGAGGTAGAATGGCCAGGTGGACTCCATGAGGGGCAGTGTAGGAAGAGGGCAGGAGGATCAGTGAGCGTGTTAGACTCATCCTGTGTGCCCATCATCTCTGCTTTTCACCAGGAGTCAATTAAGGACTGTACTCTCCTTAGCCTCATGTCTGGTGGGCAGCAAAGGGGTCCTGGCTCAGTGTCTTAAGGCTACTTCCAAGCAGGCTGGATGAGACTCTCAAGTGAGACCCAAGGATTGGAGGCCTGGATTGACTCTTTCCCATTCTCTCTGTGCACTTAAAAATGTCGAGGGTTGTTGGACTCTGGACTCTGATGGGCCACCAAATCTTAGCTTCAGGTTCTGTTTCTAAGGCCTGGTCACTTGAAGAGGATTGTGGGAGGGACAGGGAGAGACTAGGAATCTTTTCTTTTTCTTTTAATCCTAGTTGGCCTTAAATTTGTAATGTATACAAGGATGACCTCACTCTCTTGATCCTCCTGCTTCTACCTCCAGAGTGCTGGGATTGTAGGTGTGTGTCAGCTTGCCCAGCTACTCAGCTCTCTTTCTGTCTTAGACCCCTAGGATGACAAGATAGTGTCATTGGGGGTGACCAGGGTATTCCTTTTGTGTGCTATGTCTTTGGTTGGTTGGGTTTGCATTCAGGTCTATTGATTTGGACGAGAGGTCAATGGCATGGGATGCTAAGTCCTTGGGGTTGCTTCTAGAAGGCTCTCAGATTCTGTTTCCTTGAAGCCATGAAGCATCATACTAGGCCCCCTAACACATCCCTTCACTAGGCCCAGGTGAGGAACATGGAAATAGTAGTTAGACTGTTATGGCCACTTGTGGAACTAATGGCAGTGCCCTATGCTTTGTCTTGCAGGATGACTATATTCCATACCCCAGCATCGAAGAGGTAGGAGCTTCTGATTGCCGTACAGCCTGCTCTGGGTTTCCTTCCTGAGATCATGCCCCACATGGGAGAGAATCTTGGACTTAAGACTTTCGGGCCTAATGCACCTTCCTGTCTTTTCATCTGTGACCAAAGCTTTTTTGAGATTTAACTTGGGGGTTCACAAATAGTCCTTGTAAAACCCAGGAGCTGGAAATGCCATGTTCGTGCCCTTGGCCTCAGATACAAGGTCTCCCTCTTTGGAACAGTTCAGAGGTGGGTGGGGTCCCTTGCCACTACAGTCCAGGGTAGGCTTCAGGGCAAGGACTTCCCTTTGTCTCCAGGTTGTGGAGAAGGGAGGCCCATATCCTCTGATCATCCTTCCCCAGTTTGGGGGCTACTGGATTGAGGACCCAGAGAACGTGGGTACTCCAACATCACTGGGCAGCAGCGTTTATGAGGAGGAGGAAGAGGACAGTCTGAGCCCCAACACGTTCGGCTACAAGCTTGAGTGCAGGGGTGAAGCCAGAGCCTACCGCAGGCACTTCCTAGGCAAGGTGAGCTCAGGGGCCCTCCCAGAGTGGACCCTGCCTTGGGGAGGGTGGCATGGATCTCTGTTCCGGGTTCCTCTGACTTCTGTGCCTCTTCTCTTCCTTGCTTCTGCACCACTCACTGCCCACCTCCATCTCACTGAGAGTCTTAGGAGCGGCATGGAGTCCCTGTGAGGGGTCCTTTTGGGGACCACCTCCAGCATGTGTTTTATGAGGTGATGAAATGGGTAGTGTTGGGGGTTCAGGAGGATGTGATAGAGTTTTAACTGCTCAAGTTATACTGTTCAAGTTTAACTGCTCAAAAACATGCTCGCCCTGCATGGATGACTGTTTACATTTGCACAGTGCCTGCCTCTTAGACTCTCTTTCAGGATGGTCCCCTGAGTTCTGAGATTGGTTGTTGTCCGTGAGAATGATCCTTTAACAATGGCAAAGTTACATTTCCTCAAATATGTTCATGTCTTGATGTATTCCCTAAAGTCCCAAGGGCAGCTCGGGAAGTCTCCAGCCTAAGATTGCTTTGCAGTCTTTCCTGAAGGAAGCTGTACAGACTTCACTGGATTTTAGGGAGCATTGTTTAAGCAGCTTCCATGGGCTCATTGATAACTGGGTGGGCCTGGGAGGTGGGCTCCAGGAAGCCAAAGAGCCCCACTCTGTGAAGAGGGACTTTCATTCTGCTTGGGTTCTTCCTAATCTTCTCCCGTGGTTTGGATTGGTTGGGGCTGCCCTCTGAGTGAGAAAGAGAACTCATCATCAGGTGATGAAGGACCTGAACTTGAGAGTCCAATAAGATGTGGAGTTGAGCCTGGCTCTGTCAGGAACTGGTTGTGTGATTGGAATGGGGATGGTGACATCTTCTCCTACACAAAGCTGTGGTCAGGATTCAAGAGGATAATGGGTACTAAGGCTGTGGGTTGGTGCCTGATACATCCTGAGGACTTGGTGGTTGGCATCTATTAGTATAATTCTTATCATCACCATTGCTACCACTATCATCATCACCGTCATCATCATCTTCATCACCACTGCTGCAGCAGTAGCATCCATCTCTTCCTTCTTGTTGTGGGGCTTCTCCCTCTTGTGAAGGAGGTGATATGAAGGTCATGTCTGGAGGCTCATACCTGATTTCTGTTTCTAGGATCATCTAAACTTTTACTGTACTGGCAGCAGCTTGGGGAACTTGATCCTGTCCATCAAATGTGAGGAAGCTGAGGGCATCGAGTACCTTCGGATCATCCTCAGGTGGGGCTGCTACACTGGTGGAGACCGCACCTCTCCCAGGCAGAGCTGGCAGTAAGGAAAATGGGGGGAGGGCAGAAATACCAGACTGACTAGTCTGATCTTGTTGTACAGGAGGGGTAGAGCTGCTGGAATCCTGGGGCTGTATATAATGTTGCCAGGCAGCATGAGCATGTGTTCCTGCCAGCTGTCTGAGCCTCAAGGTCACCTAGGCCAGAACTTCTGGAACTTTCCTGTGTTTCTTAGGAGGGACTGTGGCTTTGAGGAGAGGGAGGACGAAGTAGGGATGGCTCAGTGTGGCTCATCAAGGTGGGACACAGCCCTATGATCTGGGAGAGAGTTGGATAGGTTGCTACCTATGTTAGCCACCTAGTTGGGGAAGGTTGTGTGTGCTGGGATCCTTGAGTTGGAATGATGTCCCCAGCAGGAATACTGATGTTAGGGTCCCTCTCTGAAACGTGACCTCCTCAAGCAAGGGAACTAGAACTGGTTTCTATTTAGTTCAACTAATATGGTTTGCTAAGCATCCTCGAACCAGAAACCATGATGGGTGCTGGGGACAATCGTGACTGAGACTTAGTCCCTGTTTCCCAAATGCTTACAGTCTCATAAGAGAGAAACAGAATTTTATTAAATGTCACCTGAATAAAGCTGTGTGTTTATCTTTGTCCCTGGCAGGGGTCTGAAGTCAGGGAGAACAATGAGTGTAGTTGGAAACACTTGAAGGTATTTGAAGATAGGAATAGCACTTTCTTTTCTGTGGGTGTGCACGTGTGTGTGCATTTGTGTACATGGAGCCAGTGATTAATGTTGGGTGTTTTCCTGTATTTCTTGACAGCTTAGTTTTGGAAACAGGGTTTCACTGAATCTGCAGTTTACCAGTTCATCCAGATTTGTGAGTCGCAGGGATCCTCCTGCCTCTGCCTCCCTGACACTAGAATTATAGGCACACACTACCTTGCTTGCCATTTTATGTGCTGGGAATCTAAAGTCAAGTCTCTATTGATTGAGTGGCAAGTACTTTGCAGACTGAGACATTTTTTTCTGCCCAAATTTTAAGCTTTCGGTATAGGAACACAGAGCAAAGTATATAACCCTGCTTTGGGAGCCAGTGTTTGAGAAAGCTGTCAGCTTGTGTCCAACTTTGGTTTGTGTCTTGGTGATGCTGGGGAATAAGCTACAGGGGCTGTGTGGGCGAGGCTTGCCCTTTGGCACCTGAGTGGGACTGGGTTATGTCCTATTTGGAAAGGAAGTCATTGTCTTTGCAAGTGTTTTTCTGGGTAGACATAGTATTTTCAAGGCACGGCAGAGTCAGTTAAACAGTTTCCTGAGTGGGTAGTTCCTGGGTCCCTGTCTCTAAGTGGGTTCTCCACTTAGATGAGCCTCCTATGGAGACCTTTCTTTCTTAATAAAATCCAGACCAAGATTACATGAGATTTCTGTGAGGTGACAGGTGATTACAATTTTTCTTTCTTTCCTGGCATTTTTTTTTTTGGAAATAGGGTGTGTAGTTGAGACTGGCTTGGAGCTCACTGTGTAGTCAAGACTAGCTTCCAACTCACAATCCTCCTGCCTCAGCCTCCTGAGTATTGAGGTTTAAGGTGCATACCACCCCGCCTGGCTCCCCAAAGCTCTGTTTTCTAGTATTAAGTCCCATATATCTCAGCTGGTATGCTTATCATGGACAAAAGCTAGAGATAGGTATCAGGAACACAGCACATGCTTTCACACACACACATACACACACACACAAACACACACACAAATATGTATAACATACACACATGCACATATACATACCTATAATTTTTTTTTAAAAGTTGTAACCTATGGGACAGTTAGGACCAAAATGTAGGTGACATTGAGTTGAATGTAGAGAGTGATGGAGTAGAATACATATAATTGGAGATTCAGAGTCAGGCCTGGTGGCTCATGCCTGTAATTGAAGCACTTCATAGACCAAGGGGTTGACGCTGGTCTGGGCTCCTTAGTGAGTTCCCATAGGAGATTCTGGGAGAATTTGGTGCTCTTTCGGGATGAATAGCCAGATACCTTTCTCCATAGAATTATTTTTGTCCTACGCCTACAGGAACCGAGAAAACAAATGCGGCTCTGCCACAGAAAGCCAGCAGGTAGGGTGGCATTGCGAAGCTGTACACCAGCCAGGAAGCTGGACAGTCCCAGCATGGTCCTGTACTAATTGCCAGACCAGTTGGAAACTAGGCAGGGCAGGGAAAATTGGCTCCATGGCTTAGCAGCTTCATTGGACACAAAGATGAGCAGAGATGAAATTCCCTTGCTGGAAGTGACTTCTGTCCTAGTGTTAGATCTCTGGATTATTTACTTTGGTGTCCCAAATTTATGGTAACCAGCTCTCTAGCCTAAAACATGAGCTGAGCATGCCAGCAGCCTTGGTGTGCCATAGGGATACCCGCTGGTCACAGACATTGCTTCTTGTGTTGGAGGCCACCATATTTATTTGCTGTGAACTCTGTTCATAAGCATTGTTCATTTTTAAATTAGATTGTTACCTGACGTTTCTAGTTTAAAAGTCTTATAAGTAGTTCTGGCAGCAGGTATGTCAAGCAGCTTTTAAAGCAGGCAGTGAGTCTAAATGGGTTTCAAAAACTCAGGCACTCAGCTGGATGCATTCACTTAAAGTTTGACAATAAAATAGAAATTCATAGTAAAATAATGCTTTCTATAATTCACTTAATCATTTAGAAACAATCACAATAATTTTCTAAGTAATTTTTATGCCAGAGAGGAAGTCAAAGCCACGAAGTCATGGGATATCTATAAATGACATTTAGGCGCTGAGATACCTCAGTGGTTAAGAGCACTGGCTGTTCTTCCAGAGGACCCAGGTTCAGTTCTCAGCACCCATATGGTGACTCACAACTGTCTGTAACTCCAGTTCTAGGTTTCCCCAAACCCTCTTCTGGCCTCTGTGGACGTACACATGGTACATAGACAGATATACCAGCAAACAAAACACCCAAACACATTAAAAGAAAAGTAATACAATTTGTGATCCTTTAAGTTGTATTCATTGCCCTCATTAGAAGAAAATGTATTGCTTTACCCAGCTTATTGCTGAATAAAACATGCTATTTGCAGGTTGCTATTGCTATTAGTGACCTCTCAGTGCTCCAGTCCCCTCATGCGTGAGGAAAGTATTAAATCAGTGAATGCTTAGGTGCCCTAGTGAGTCTGGGATCCCACATATGATGGCTTCTCGATAATGACAGCTGGCTTCATTATTATCAACACTGTTATCTAAAGAAAGCAAGAGGAAGGGATGAACAAAGATTAATGTGGAAAAATAATTAGAATGAAAAGAGCTTAAGAACTGATTATCAAATGGCAGCTTCTATCAGGGAAAACAAGACAATATCGATGACTGTCTAGTAAAATATCGAGACAAAGAAGCCAGGCATGTTAATATTTACCTGTTATCACAGTATTTGGGATGTAGAGTCAGAAAAACTAGGGGGTTCAAAGTTATTCTTATCTATAGAGTGAGATGGAGAACAGCCTGGGTTACATGAGACCGTATCTTACTCTCCATATAGATAAAATATGCAAAACATATATGTAGAGATAAAAATATTTCAAGGTAGATAATAGGTACAAAAATATATAGACTGATAAAAAGAAACAAAATTAGCTCTAAAAGATACATTGTTGGGGCTGGAAAGATGCACTAGCTGCTCTTCCAGAAGATTTGGGATTTTCAGCACCTATGTGGCAGCCTGCAACCGGCTGTAACTCCAGCCTCATGGGATCCAACACCCTCTTCTGGCTCCATAGGCGGCGCATACATATAGTGCACATACATACCTGCAGGCAAATCTCAGACATATTTAAAATAAAACTTAAAAATGATGCATAGTTACAGGTAAGGAGATTAAGTTATTATTAAGGAATGTTATGTCTAACATAAGCCATTCAACTGAAAATGCCATTAAAATGGGAGGGATGCAGAGGGAGAGCAACGAAGGAGATATCTTGATAGAGGGAGCCATTATGAGGTTAGGAAGAAACCTGGTGCTAGGGAAATTATTAGAAATCCACAAGGATTACCCCAGCCAAGACTCTTAGCAATAGTGGAGAGGGCGTCTGAACTGACCTTCTCTTGTAATCAGACTGGTGACTATCCTAATTGTCATCATAGAACCTTCATCCATTACAGATTGAATCAGATGCAGAGATTCACAGCCAAGCACTGGGCTGAGCTCCCAAAGTTCGGTTGAAGAGAGGGAGGATGGATTATATGATCAAGGGGGGTGGTGGTGTTCAAGATCATGATGGGGAACTCACAGAGACAGCTCACCCAAGCTAGTGGGAGCTCACGGACTCTAGACTGACAGCTGAGGAGCCTGCATGGGACTGAACTAGGCCCTCTGCCTGTGGGTGACAGTTGTGTGGCTTGGTCTGTTTGTGGGACCCCTGGCAATGGGACCAGGATCTATTCCTGGTGCATGAGCTGGCTTTTTGGAGCACATTCCATATGGTGGGATGCCTTGCTCAGCCTCAATGCAGGGAGGAGGGGCTTGGTCCTACCTCAGTTGAAGGTGCCTGACTTTGTTGACTCCCCATGAGAGGCCTTACCCTTTCTGGGGAGTGGATGGGGGATGGGCTGGGGGGGAGGTGGGAGGAACAGGGAAGAATACACTACCTACCAGGGAAGAATACATTACCAAGTTTAACTCAAGATGAGAGTAAAAACCCAAATGCATCAACAACTGTGGAATAAATTAGAAAAGTTCTCAGAGAACTCTCCAAATGTTTCTGGCTCTAGAAGATCTTACAGGTAGATATTTTAAGCTTTAAAGGGACAGATTTGCATTATTTAAACTGTTCAAGAAAGAAGAAAAATATGGAAGCCTTCTCAGTTAACTTGTGAATGCTTAGGAGATCCTTTAAAAAACAGACAAATGAAATACCAATTCATAAAAAAGAAAAAATAGTTTCCAATATTTATAAATACAGAAGAATCT